TCGCTCTTCGCCGTCGTCCAGGTGCCCGCCGCGGACCACGCCGCCGGCGGGCCGCGAGGTGGGAGGCCGGGCTTGCATGCGCTTGGCGTGCACCGAGGACTCGAAGACGTAGCGGAGCGGGTCCCGGCGCGCCGGCCGCGCCGCGCAAGAGCGAGTCGCTCTTCGCCGTCGTCGAGGTGCCCGCCGCGGACCACGCCGCCGGCGGGCCGCGAGGTGGGAGGCCGGGCTTGCATGCGCTTGGCGTGCACCGAGGACTCGAAGACGTAGCGGAGCGGGTCCCGGCGCGCCGGCCGCCGGCCGCGGAAGAGCGAGTCGCTCTTCGCCGTCGTCGAGGTGCCCGCCGCGGACCACGCCGCCGGCGGGCCGCGAGGTGGGAGGCCGGGCTTGCATGCGCTTGGCGTGCACCGAGGACTCGAAGACGTAGCGGAGCGGGTCCCGGCGCGCCGGCCGCCGGCCGCGCCGCGCAAGAGCGAGTCGCTCTTCGCCGTCGTCGAGGTGCCCGCCGCGGACCACGCCGCCGGCGGGCCACCGCCGCCCCCCGGGGCGACGACGACCGCGCCCCGGGGGGTGACGCCTCCCCCCGGGGGCGGACGGGCGCGATCGCGGTCGTGGGGAACTTTTTTTTTGGGATGGCGTGGGCGGAGCGAAAAGGGGTCGTAAAAGCGGGGCTTTTGGGGGGGGGGGGACTTGTTGGGACGCCGGGAGGCTACGAGAGAGGTACGAGGTGTGAGTATGACGCGTGGCGAGTGTGCGGTGAGCGTGGAAGGTCGAAAAGATGGCCAGGCGATGTCTCGCTGACACAGCGCTTGGCCAATCAGCTCGTGGCTCGGCTCGAGGCCGCGCGTACAGTGCGATGTCCCAGCCCGCCGAATACCAGAAGCGCGCCGCCCCGCCGGGCCGGCGCGGTTCTTCGAACGCGCGGCGCGCGCCGCCGCCGCCCGCGCCCGTCGATCCCGTCCACGGCGCCGCGCGCATGGAAAAGCCGTCGCCGGAGGTGATGGCGGCCATCAAGGCCGACGCCGAGGACTACCTCAAGGGCGCGGCGAAGGAGGGCCTCGCCGAGGCGCTGCGCGAGGTCGCCGAGGCGGCGCTGCGCGAGGCGTCGGCGGCGAGCGGCGCCTCCGCGGACGCGGAGCGCGCGGCGGCCGCGGAGCGCGCGGAGACGGCGCGCGTCGCGAAGGCGCGGGCGGCCAAGGCGCGCGCCGAGGCCGCGCGCGCCGAGGCCGCGCGGCTCGCGGCGGAGGCGGACGCGGCGGAGGCCGAGGCGGCGGCGGAGGCCGAGGCCGCCGCGGCCGCGGGCGCGGAGGGCTTCGCCGACGACAAGGCGCGCCGCGCGGCGTTCCTGTCCAAGTTCGACGACGGCTTCGCCGACTCCCTCGAGGACCGCGTCCTCGCGTCGCAGCACCGCGCGCCGCCGGCGGCGGCGCCGCTCCCCGACGGCGCCCTCTTCGCCGCGGACGTGTCCGGCGCGGTCTCGGCCGCTCGTTCCCGCATCGACGCGCCGCCGGAGCCCGCGCGCTCGTCGCCGCCGCCGGAGCCCGACGCGCCGCCGTCGCCCGCGGTGGCGCCCCGCGCGGCGCCGGCCGTCCCCGCCATGCGCGTCGACGCCGGGGGCCTCTTCGCGGCGGCGGCCTCGCCGGCGCTCCCGCCGGACGCGCCCGTCGACGAGGTCGAGCCGCCGCTCCGCCGGGTGAACCTCGACGCGCCGCCGCGCGCGCCCGACGTCGCCGCGGCCCCGGCGCGGGACCCGACGGCCCGGGCGCCCAAGGGGTCCGCGGGTCTGTGGGGCGACGGCGACATCCCCGACGGCGGCTCGCTCTTCGAGGCGCCGCCGGACGACGACCCCCTGTCGTCGGCCCTGGCGCGCGCCATCGACGAGGACCCCGTCGCCAAGGCGCTGGCGCGCCAGCGGGCCCTCGAGGAGGCGAACGCGGCCGCGGCGCGCGACCGCGCGGCGCGCGCGCCGCCGCGGCCGCCGGCGCCGCCGCCCGCGGCGCCGCCCGCGGACCCCTTCGCGCCCGCCGAAAGCAACCCCTTCGGCGACGCGAGCCCGGGCACCTTCGCGGGCGCGCCGCCGCCGCGGGATCCCTTCGCGGGCGACTTCGCCGACGGCCCGCCGCTCCGCGGCGTCGGCGGCGGCGGCGCGGAGAACCCGCTGGACCCGAACGCGGCCTGGCGCGTCAAGCAGGAGGACCTGCGGGCCCGGGGCTCCGAGGTCGGCGACGGCAAGGCCGCGGTGACGTACGCGTTCAACGGCGTCTTCAGCTGCGGCATGTACGGCACGGCCGAGGCCAAGGACTTCGAGACGGGCGAGGGCTACACGGAGTACATCATGCGCTGCCAGTGGGGCAAGACCTTCGAGACGATGAAGCCCTGGATGGTCGCGCGGCGGTTCCGCGAGTTCGTCGCCGTCGACGCGAATTTGAGGGGCGCGCTGCCGGACCTCGCGCCGCACCTGCCGCCCCTGCCGTCGTCCTTCGTCCTCTTCGCCATGTCCGCCGAGGTCGTCGAGGCGCGCCAGCGGGGGCTCGAGAACTACCTCCGCAAGCTCGTCACGGAGCTGCCCACGACGCTCCGGTCCCAGCAGATCGACGAGTTCCTCTGCATCTCCGACCGCATCGCCACGATGACCCAGGCGTGAGCGGTCCCATTTTTCTTTTCGCCCCGCGCCGCGAGGTAAGAGCCCGTCGCATCCGGGTGCTCGTTTACGCGCGAGCCTCGAGTCCTCCTAGAGAGCACGTCCTAGAGCTGGAAGTAGGCCTTGTACTTGGCCTTGACCTCGTCGATGGTGAGGAGGATGATCATGGCGTGGGGCGCGCAGCGCGAGTAGTAGGCGGCGAAGCCCGTCCAGAACGCGAGGGGCCCCTCCTTGGCGAGCACGTCGCCCGCGGTCCGCGCGAGGCTCGCGCCCGCCTTCGCGTCCTGCAGGCGGCTCTTCAGCAGGTCGAAGGGCAGCGACAGCCAGGCGGCGAAGAAGCCGCCGGCCCCCGCCGCGATGAGGCGCGTCTTGATCGACGGGTCCGCCGGGTCGTCGCCCGTGAGCGCGACGGCCGCCTCCTTGGCCTGGTCGCTGCACGCCATCATGCCGCAGTTCATGGACATGCCCCGCAAAATGTTCGGCGCCAGGCCCTTGTAGAGCGCGCCGAAGCTCTCCTCCACGGCGATGCGCCGCAGCGCCGAGAAGACGTTCGCGTAGTTGCGCCGCTCCGCCGCCGGCTTCATCGAGTCGGCCTGCATGCGCACGAGCGCGACGTCCATGGGCGTGCCGACGCAGACGGCCAGCGCGCCGCCGAGCATGGACGACCCCGCCTTCTGCGCGAACGGTAACGCCGCGCCGCCGTTGCGCCTCTGGAGCTCGTCGCTGAACGTCCGGTGCAGGCCCATCCGCGCCGTGCCGTACGTCGACTGGCGCAGCAAGCTCGCGGACAGGCCCGCGTAGATGGACGCGAACCCCTCCTGCTTCACCATGCCGCCGATCATCGACACGAAGTTCGGCGCGGCGACGCCCGGGTTCTGCGTCGCGAAGAGCTGCAGGCGCACCTTGGCGAGGTCGATGGGGTGGATCACGCAGGACGCGAAGCACGCCGCGAAGCCGCTGCAGGCGAAGGGCATGAGCGTCTCCGCCGTCGACGGGCCGCTGCTGCCGAAGGGGGCATTGACGTGCTCCGTCGTCGTGCGGGCCATGTTTCCTGTCCTGTGGTACGAGGCGATGTGGCTGGTGCCAGCAAAATATGACACCAGTGATGTTGCACGCAACCCCTAAATTGCTGTGCAACTTGAAGAGACAATCACGGGGCAGCTCTTTTAGAGCTTGCAGTCGTGGCCGCGCGCGGAAGAGCTTCGTCGGGGCAGCCCAACCAACTCACGCGCGCGCAGCGGAAGATGGCGCGCCTCCTCGCCCTGGGCCTCTGCGCCGCCGGCGCCCTCGCGGGCAAGGGCAAGAAGTACGAGGACCACACCATGGACGCCCTGGCCTGGCTCAAGGAGAACACGCCGTCGACGCTCATCGTCGACGTGCGGACCAAGGCCGAGTACGAGACGGGCCACCTCGAGGGCGCCGTCCACGTCCAGGCCGTGGAGATGGAGCTCTGCTACGAGAAGTACAAGGAGATCCAGAAGAGCGTCTCCGTTTATTGTTATGAGAAGCCCTACCGGTCGACGCCCGTCGCCGAGCACCTCTCGGAGAAGTTCCCGGGCCTCCGCGTCGTCGACCTCGGCGGCCTCGCCTACATGGAGGGCGCCCACCTCGTCACCAACGGCACGGACGCGGGCGCCATGTGCATGGTCCAGCCCACGTCCCGCCCGACGTCCTACCCCGGCGAGCCCAAAGCGTCGGCGACGCTCGCGCCCGTCGCGGCGCCGACGGCCGCGGAGGCCCCCGCGGAGGCGGCCGCCGACGCGTCCGGCGCCGCGGCGGCCGCCGCCGCCGTCGACGACGAGGCCTCCGAGGAGGCGTCCAAGGCGTCCGCGGGCGGTTGCTTCCTCAAGCTCGTCGCCGGCGCGGCGCTCGTCGTCGCGCTCGGCTCCGCGGCCTACTACTACCGCCGCCGCAAGAGCTTCAAGGCGAAGATGGCGCCCATCCTCGAGGCGACGCCGGCCAAGGGCGAGGTCCAGGTCGCCGCGCCCGCGGACTCGAAGCTGCCCCAGACCAAGGACGCGGAGGACGCGCTCCACGTGCAGATCGCGCCCGAGGGCGCCGCCGCCGCCCCGGCCGAGGACGTCGAGAAGGGCACGGCGGAGCTCATGACCGTCGACACCGAAGGGCTCCCGGAGTCGCCGGCCTACGAGGTGTAGGTCGTTCCGACCCGCCGTGCGTGTGTCCGCCCGTCTTCGGCGCGGAACCTAGTTCTTTTGTGAAGAGTATGCCCGTCGCGGCCGGTGCCGCCGCCGACTGCGGGTGCGCCTACTGCCGACTCCGCGTGCGTCTACAGGCGGACTCGGAGGTCTTCTAGTCGGGCGCCGTCGGACGTCGCGCGCGGCGCGGCCGGGGAGGGGCCGGACCGCGCGGGGCCGTCGATGGAGCGTGCGCGGAGGGGAACAGGCCGGTTGGCTCCGCGAAACTTGGGCCGGGGGGGACTGTGCCGCTCCGGGTGGGTCCGCGTCGAGCGCGGCGCCGGAGGTCCGTCACAGGGACACGGTGCGGCAGACGGACGCCGGCGACGGGCCGCGGCGGCAGACGGCGCAGTCGCAGGCGGGGCCGCGGTTCAGGGCCGCGATGGCTCGATCCGCGTCCGCGGGGCCCAGGCCGACGTCGGCGCGCGTGTGGACGAAGTGGGGCCCGAGGTCGAGAAACCGGTCGTCGACGGCGACGAAGCGCGGCGCCGCGGTCGGGGCGTGCTTCTTCAGCCACCGCTTGATCTCGCCGCGGCGGCCCGTCGTGAGGTGGCTCGGCGTCGCCGACAGCAGCGGCGGCAGGCGCCGGTCGCGGAGGACGTCGTCGACCTTGGCCGCGAGGCCGTGGAACTCGCGCCACGCGGACGAGAGCACGACGCGCGCGCCCGTCGCGCGGAGCACGCGCTCGAGCTGGTCGACGCAGGGCCCGTGAAAGATCTCGCCGTCGTTCGGCGCGCCCTCGCGGACGAGGACGCCGTCGACGTCGAGGAAGACGATCGGCGGCGCGTCGGCCGCCGCGAGCGCGGCGCGGATCTCCGTCGCGCCGCTGTAGAGGCCGGGGGCTCGGCGCGCCAGGCCGACGAGGTGGCCGAAGGAGCGGACGAGGCGCAGGAGCGAGAGGCTGGCCGCGAGCTCGCGCGGCCGACCGCCCGACGAGCTCCCGGCCGACGACGCGGACGGAGAGGAGGCGGGCGATTCGGTCTTGGCTTCGGCGCTCGGCGTCGAGGGGCACTCCGCCGTCACGAGCCGGGGTGGCGTCGCGGGACGCGCGATCTTGGCACCGATGGAAGTATTGTGCGTTTCCATTACGAGGTGTCCATTTTGCGGTACTATCATGTATTTGCGAGAGGTTTTCGATGCGTCGCCGAGTCGTGGGGACCCGATGAGGACGTGGGGGCAATCGCGAAGCGTTGCGACGCGCGGAGATCACCGCTCGCACGCACGATTCGGGAGGCGAATCGGCCCCCCTTTTTTCCTTGTGACACTCAGAGTCCCTCCTCAACTTGAATCGGTCACAGTGGCAAATCCAAATAAAAATTGCGCACGCCTCAGCCTGAGTCCGACTCTGAGGTCATCGTGGAACGGAGCCAGCCGCCGACGCGAGGCCGCCGACTCACCGTCGCAGCGGAGGTTGGTCGTGCTCAATGGCGGCGCGGTGTTGCGCACAGACCCATATCCCGCCGGCGAGATGGTGGACCCCCGAGGGATGTTAGGAAGATGGTGGGGTCTCTGCGCGAAAGGGAGCATAGGGCGCGGCGCGCCAACGGCGGGGCGGGTTCAGCCCTCGTACTCGTCGCCCGGCGCGGCCGCCGGGCCCTTGCCCATCTGGCGGCCGGCCTTCATGACCTCGTCGACGAGCAGAAGCTGCGTCGCGAGGACCGTGGACAGGTGCAGGTACTGCTTCTTGACGCGGTAGTTGTCCCAGATGCCGTGGCTCGCCGTGTCCGTCGCCTTGCCCGTCTCGAGGTCCAGACCGACGAGCTCGCCGCCGAGCTTCGTCCGCGCGTCCTGCATGTTGACGATGGACTCCTGGACGTCGTGGCCCGCGTTCTCCGCGAGGATTTTCGGCACGATCAGCAGCGAATCCGCGAAGGCCATGATGCCGAACTTCTTCTTGCCCTGGGCCGCCTCGGTCTTCGTGAAGTTGTCGCACAATTCCATCTGCGCCGCGACCTCGAAGGCGCCGCCGCCGGGCACGACGCAGCCGTCCTCGATGACGCCCGCGACGGCGCGCAGACCGTCGCGCACCGCGTCCTTGATCTGCTCGATCGTGTGCTTGTTTGGGCCCTTGAGGAGCAGCGTGCACGACAGCGGGTTCTTGACCTCGTCGATGAAGGTGTAGTTCTCCTCGCCCAGATTGACCTCGTAGACGACGCCCGCGTAGCCGAGCACGTCCTCCTCGAGGTCGTCGAAGCAGTTGACGGCCGTGCCGCCGCACGCGAGCGCGATGCGCTCCATGTTGCGCCGCTTCGCGCGGCGCGCGGCGAAGATGCCCTCCTTGGCGAGCATGTCGAGGGACAGGGGGTCGATGCCCTTCTGGTTGATGAGCACGAAGGAGCTCCCGTCCTGGCAGACCTTGCGCTTGAACTCGATGACCTGGCGGACCTTGTCGTCCGTGAACTTGCGCTCCGACTCGATCAACTGCTCGCGCTGCTCCGCCGACGAGTAGAAGAACCCCGACGCGACCTCCGACTTCTCGTACTCCAGCGACACGTTGCACGTGAGGACCTTGCAGTTCTCCAGTTTCTTGGGCATGTCCGGGTGGCGGCTCGCGTGGTCGAGCACGAGCCCGCGGACGAAGCGCGAGTCCGCGCCGAGCTTGTGCTCCATGGTCATGACCTCGACCATGTGCAAATCGATGCCCGCCTCCGGGTCCTCGCCCGCGCCGCGGACCGTGAGCACCGCGTCGACGACCGCGTCCGTCATCAGATCCGCGATCTTCGGCTGGAGCTTCGTCCGCAGCGCGGTCCGCGCGACGGAGCAGAGGAGCTCGCGGTCCGGGTTGGCCTTGTCGATGTCGACCTTGACCTTGTCGAGGATCTCCAGCGCGTGGTCCCGCGCGAGGTCGTAGCCCTCGGCGATGACGCGCGGGTGCATGCCCTCGGAGACGTAGCGCTCGGCGCACTTGAGCATCTCGCCCGTGAGCAGCACGACGGACGTCGTGCCGTCGCCCGTGATCTCGTCCTGGGCCGTCGCCGTGCGCGCGATGAGCATGGCCGTCGGGTGCTGGATCTGCATCTCCTTCAGGAGCACCGCGCCGTCCTTCGTCAGCTTGATCTGCCCCGCGCCGCCGACGAGCATCTTCAGCGTGCCCCGCGGGCCCAGGTTCGACTTGAGCACGCTCTGGAGGCCCCGCGCCGCCGACGTGTTCACCATCAGCGACTGCGACTTGGCCACCTGCGGCGCGCGTTTGGGTTCATGGCGCGTTGGGGCGGCGCGCGGCGGCGGCGGCGCGCGGACGCGACCCGACGTCGCGTGCCATGGGTGCGGGGCGCTTTCGCGGGGACGCGGGACCGCGCGATCTCCGCATTCGGGTTCACGAGCTTCGCGCTCGCCGCCATAATGGCTGCCGCGACGACGCTGTAAGCCGCTAGCCGGTCGTCTTGGCCTCGCGAGGCGAGGGGGGCGGCTCGCCGACTGGCTCGGACAAGCGCCTCGCTGTGGTAAAAGCTGATGGCAGCGTGTTACGGCCGCCCTCAAGCGCGACTCAGCAGCGCCTAACGCGCATATAAAGGCCGACCGGTCCGCCGTGATCATACCATGGCCCTGAAATCGGGCCGGAACACGGTCGCCGACATCGTGAAAGCGCTCTGCATGTCCTGGACGCTGTGCACCGTCGCGCTCGTCGTCGGCGAGGCCTGCCTCGTCGCGCTGATCGTCAGGGTCGTCGAACTACACGGAGATCGACTACTCGACGTACCTCGAGCAGGCGGCCATGGTCACGGACCACCGGGTCTACGACTACGGCGCGATCCGCGGCGAGCAGGGCCCGCTCGTCTACCCGGCCGGCCACGTCTGGCTCTACGCGGCCGTGGGCCGCTACGCCGGCGGGTCGATCCTCGCGGCGCAGAAGCTCTTCGGTTTACTTTATGTCCTCGACGCCTTCGTCGTCGCGCGAATCTACGCGGGCGCGCTGGCCAAGGACGCGTTTCCGCCCGTACTGCTCGCTGTCCTGGCGCTCTCGAAGCGCGCGCACAGCGTCTTCGCGCTGCGGCTCTTCAACGACGGGCCCGTGGCGCTGCTGAGCCACGCGAGCGTGCTCGCCTTCATGCGGGGCCACGACAATCTGGCCTGCGTCGTCTTCTCTTTAGCGGTGTCCGTGAAGATGAACGCGCTGTTGTACGCGCCCGCGGTCTACCTCGTGCTGGCGGCGCGGCGGGGCCACCGGGGCGCGTGGCTGCGCATCGTGCTTTTGTGCGGCGGCGTCCAGGTGCTCGTCGCGTGGCCGTTTCTCACGACGGACCCGACGGGCTACGTCGCGAACGCCTTCAACCTCGGCCGGGGCTTCAAGCACTACTGGTCCGTGAACTTCAAGTGGGTGCCCTGCGAGGCGCGCCTGCCGGAGCATGTGACGGCCCTGGCGGACTGCGACGGGCCCTTTTCGTCGTCGACCTTCAAGGTCGCGAGCTTAGCGGCGCACGCGCTCGCGCTCGTCGCGCTCGCGGAGCGGTGCTGGCTCCGGCGGCGCGGCGGCTTCGTCGGCTTCTTCGCGAGCCCGCAGAAGCGCGGGCCCTTCTCGCCCGCGGCCGCGGCGAGGGCGCTCCTCGCCTGCAACTTCGTCGGAGTGGCCTGCGCGCGGTCGCTCCACTTCCAGTTCTGCGTCTGGTACGCGAACACGCTGCCGTTCCTGCTCGCGACGACGAAGCTGCCGCTGGCGGCGAAGGCGGCGCTCCTCGTCGCCGTCGAGGCCGCGTGGAACCCCTGGGGCGGCTCCGAGACGTCGTCGCCCGCGTCGTCGCTGCTCCTCACGGCGGCCCACGCGGCCATCCTCGCCGCGCTCCTCGCGGCCGCGCCCGGGGACAAGGGCGCCGCGAAGACGGAGTAACAGGCCGTGGTTCGTACAAGCGGCCGTGTTCTTAGATGGCTGTTGCATGTTGAAGGCAACCTAGACGAGGTGCAACGCAATGGCTGCCTTGACGGAGAGCCCGGCCGGTCCGTGGACGCCCTTTGCGAAAGCCACCGCGCCGCGGCAGTGCTGCGATGTCCAGTGGTGCGGCGACACGGTGATCGCGGCGACCTACGACTACATCGAGGATGAAGGCCTGCGCCGGGGCGGCCTCTGCGCCCTCGCCGTCGGCGGCGACGGCGCGCTCGCCGTGCGGTCGACGCTGGAGTTGCGCGGCGGCTACGCCGTCGCCGTGGAGCCCGGCACCGCGCAGCTCGCCTGCGCGACGGCGGACGGCCGCGTCGCGCTCGCCGCCGTCGGCGACGACGGCGCGCTCTCGCTCTCGTTCGCGTCCGAGCCCAGGGGCCACCTCTTCACGTCCGTCGAGTGGTGCGGCGACGGCGAGCTGACCGTCGCCGAGGGCGACTCGGGCGCCGTGTCGCTCTGGCGGCGCGCGGGCGACGGCGTCGTCGAGGAGCGGCGCTGGGCGGCGCACGACTACGGCCCCGGCTGCCCGGCCGAGGTCTGGTGCGCGACGCGGGGCGCCGGGCTGGTCTACTCGGGCGCCGACGACGGCACGCTGAAGGCCTGGGACCCGCGCACGCCGGGCCCGAGCCGCGCGGCGTCCCTGCGGCACGACGCGGGCGTGACCTCGGTACGCGAAACTTTCTTCGTCCCTCCCTCCGACGCGTCGACGCGTAGGTCCTCGCGCTCGAGGGCGGCGGCGTCGCGACGGGCTCCTACGACGAGCACCTGCGGCTCTGGGACCTGCGGCGGCCGCGCGCGGCGGTCGCGGCGGTCCGCCTCGGCGGCGGCGTCTACGCGCTCCGCGGCGACGGCCCCGGCGCGTTCCTCGCCGCCTGCATGGACGCGGGCGTCCACCGCGTCGTGACCTCCGACGGCGGCGCGCTGGCGGACGCCGGCGCCTACGCGCACCACGGGTCGCTGGCCTACGGCGCCGCGAGGCACGCGGCGACGCGCGTCGTCGCGAGCTGCTCCTTCTACGACCGGGAGGTGCACCTGTGGCGGGACGGGTAAGTTTTTGTTTGTCCTGTTGGCAGTAGTCCAGTATCGCCTGTTGGACGGTGTGCTCTCGCAGCGCCCGCGTGGGCGCGATCGACTGCGTCCACGTGCCATCTGCCGCGATGCCGTTGTCGATGCTCGCGACGGCCATGTAGCGCGCACCGTTGACGCTCGTCGTCGTTGTTGGTCCGAAGAGGTCGATGTGCGCGGTGACCTCGCGCTTGCCCCCGGCGGGCTTGGGCGGCCACTAGCGGCCGCGCCCGCATCGCCTTCATGGGCGCGCTCGACTCCGCGCGCGGCGCGTCGAACCGTTGGACCCCCCTTCACACAGAGTTCATAAGCAGCAACTACGACCTCAACGTCATGATCGCGAAACTGACGACGACGGCACGCAACTTCGTCGAAAACGGGTGCGACCCGTTCCGCGAACGCGCCGAGGTAACACGCGCGCATCCCAACGCAGGCTGCGGACTTCTGGTCAGCGACCCCGGCGTCCACTGCTCGTCGGCCTCGGACCACTGCGGCGCCCGTGTTCCACCGAGGATGTCGTTGACGATGCCCACGGCTTCGTCCGCGGTGTCCGCCTCCGTGTCGTGGAGGAGGCTTCTCAACTCCCCCCGCTTACCAACCCCCCCTCTCATCGGAAGAAGCGCGCAAGAAGCTTGCCCGGGTGCGGCGACCTCGACGTGGAACACCGCGACGCGACGACCAAGAACACCGCGTAAACCACGACGATGAAGCAGCAAAGCTCCTTCGAGCAGACCATGCTCACGCTCAAGACCGTGGGCACGGCGCAGGAAATGCAGTTCCGCCAGGCGACGGACGCGCTGCGCGCCTGCGACGACTACGAGGCGACGCTCAGCGCCGCGCAACTAGCCTTGCACCGCCTCTGCGCCGATCCGCTGCTCTTCGCGTCGACGCGCGCGAGCGTTCCGGGAGCCGGCGCGGCGAAATTGATGGCGGCGCTCGGCTACCGGTCCGCGGGCGGCGCGCGCTTCGTCTTCGAGGGCGCCAAGTCGCCCGTCGTGCTGCGCCGCCTCGCGCTCGCGACCAAGGCGCTGGACGCGTACCGCGCCGACGAGCGCGCGCGGCGCGCGACGGCCAAGTTCGCGGCCCTGCCCGCCGAACCTTCGCCGGGCGCGTCGGGAACGACGACGCTCCGCGTGATGCCGGCGAACGAGCGGCGCCGCTACGAGGCCGACGACACCTTCGCCAAGGCCCTGGCCTGGATCCGCGTCGTCGTCGACGACCCGGACCTCGGATGCGACCAGGTCGCGGTGGAGTTCCCGAAGAAGCGCCTCGCGGAGGACGATGGCGGCCGCACGCTCCAGGCGCTCGGCCTCTGGCCGTCGGCGACGCTCCGCGTGGGGCCCGAGCCGGCGCCGCCCCTGCCGCCGCCGCCGCCGCGCGGCCTGCGCCTCGGCGGCAAGCCCAAGCCCTCGGACCTCTTCCGCCGCGTGAAGAGCCGCTTCGACGCCGCGCCCGCGCCCGCGCCGACGCCGAGCCAGGCTTAAGTAAGTTGTGACTGTGGCCCTGCTGGCGTCTAGCCCCACTCGGACGCGCGGCGCCGGTCGCAGCCACGGACATAGGACTTACATAGGACATTGTGAAGCCTTTGTGATGGTGAAGCCATCGTTGAGGGGAAACACGCCGAAGAACCACGCACGAGCTCGATCTTACCAAGTACCACCAGTTCCGACTACTACCGCGGTGCACCGCGTCCGAACGCGTGCGCGCAGCCCCGCGCTGCCCGCCCCGCCCCGCAACGCCTCCCCGTGCCTCCGGGACACCCCTCGAGGCGGCGGACCCCAAGGGAACCCGCGCGAAAACGAGTTCGGGCTGCCCTGGACGCCCTCATTCTCCATAGGCCACTTTCAACATGCAGAAGCTCGCCCTCGCCCTCGCCCTCGCCCCCGCCGCGGCCTTCGTGCCGTCGGCCGCCCCCAAGGCCGCCCTCAAGATGGACGCGACCATCCAGCAGACGCTCGCGTCCATGCAGGGCCCGGAGGTCTTCTGGGGCTCCGACGGCGTGCTCGAGGGCCACGAGGAGGACGAGGTCAAGGGCTACGACAACTTCGACGTGCTCGCCGGGGCCATGCAGGCCCAGGGCGTCAACCTCGACGGCGGCCAGTACACGCTCCTCGCGCCCTCCAACTCGGCCATCGAGAAGCACAACAAGGAGGTCGGCACGCCGATCGACGCGAACATCCTCAAGTACCACGTCATCAACGGCGCCGTCGCCATGTCCGGCCTCACCGTGGACCAGCCGACGCTCAACGGCGGCACGCTCACGGCCTACCGCAAGTTCCGCAAGAACTGGCTCGACGGCGCGATCATCGGCCTCTCGTCCGAGGGCGCGTCCAAGTCCTCCAGCTGGCCCGCGGACGTCGCCTGCGACAACGGCGTCATCCACGCGATCGACACCGTCCTCGTGCCCGGCGCGTACGACGGCCCGCGGTAAGCGCGAGCCCCGCCGCGGAGCCGCGCTCCGCCCTCGAGCGCCAAACTAGGCCGAGGCGGCGAGAGCGCGCCGCGCGCGTCCGCGACTCGCGAGTAACGGGCGCGTGTCCTGGGACCAAACACCACGAGTAACGGGCGCGTGCCCTGGGAAACACCACGACGGGGCATCGCCTTCCGCAACTACGTCTCGATGGCATGGCACGGGGGCACTGACTCGGAGGCGGCTTCTACGTCGACGCGGCGTGCGCCCACCCAAGCACGGCGCCGCAGTTATGCGCAAAACTACTGGGCGCCGCCGCCGGCCGCGCGGTTCGCGTCGCGCTTCGACTGGCCCTGGCCGGCGGCCTTGATGAGGTCCGCGCGCTCCTGGTCGTTGGCGTTCTTGAACATGTCCGCCAACAACTCCTGCGTCGACGCGTCCTTGAGGTCGCCGTCCTGGATGCGGATCTGCCGCTCCGCCTTTTTTTTGTCCTCGACGTCGTCGAGCGCGGACCACTCCTCGCCGGGCACGTACTTGACCATCTTCGCCTGGATGCGGTCCTTCTTCAGCAGGAGCTTCGACTTGAACTTGTCGATGGGGTGGCACAGGTTCGTCAGCTTGAACTCGCGCACGGCGCCGCCGCGCGCGTGCGTCACGCGGACGCCGACCTCGGTGAACTCGTGCGACGTCTCCTCCGCCGTCGGCGCGTCCACGGGGAAGTAGAGCGTCACGGCCTTGTCGCTCTGGTCCCAGGAGTACTTGCCGAAGACGCCCGGCGCCTCGGCGGGCGCGCGCCGCGCGGGCTCCGGCGGCGGCGGCGGCGCGGCGCCGCTCGAGCCCTCGCCGGAGCCCTTCTCGCCGCCGCCCTTGCCGTCCTGCCAAAAGTCCGCGGCCCAGGGCGCGTGGCCGGGCCGGCCCCGCGCGACCTTGGCCTCCTCCTCCTTGCGCAGCGCCTCGAGGCGCGCCGTCGCCAGCGACATGTTGCGCATGAGCAGCTGGCGCGCGTAGGGCGTCTTGGCCAGCTTCCCCAGCGCCTCGAGGTCCGTGCGCACGGCCTCGACGTCGTCGAGCTTGTTCATCGTGCCCAGCGTCTGCATGGTCGCGGATTGGGTGTGCGAGCAGCGCGCAGCACTCGTCGACTTCGGCGGCGCTCCACAGCGAATCGACTCGCGTCCTCGAGAGCTTGTGCAGCAACATGAAGGAAACGAGCCGTAAAATAACGAGCTTACGCGCCGCCCTGGCCCGCCATGCGCGCGGCCGCCGCGGCGAACATGCGCTCCTGCTCGCGCATGTCCTCCTCCGTCGCCTCGACGTGCATGGCCGCGAGCTGGCGGCCGCGCTTGGTGGCCTTGCTCGGGCCCTTGCGCGCGGCCTTCTTCTCCTTCATGCGGCCCCGCGCGGCGCGCTCGCGCGCGCGGTACTCGACGAGGGAGCCGCAGGTCGCGCAGCGCTCGAGCTTGGCGGCGATGGCCGCGTCGCAGTCCGCGCAGGGCCGCCGCCGGTCCTCCTTGAACTTCCCTTTCACGGAGACGAAGCGCGCGCCGCAGGCGCAGACCGTCGCCGCGCGGTGGTTCTCCGCGCCGCAGGCCTTGCACTTCTTGCCCCGCGCGGGCTTGGCGGCCTTCTTCTTCTGCGGCGCCGGCGCCGCGCGGAGCGGCTCGGCCCCGGGGAGGAGCTCGTGGCGCGCGAGCGCGTCCAGCACCTCGGGGTCGTCGTCGAGGTCGTCGAGGTCGTCGTCGTCGTCGCTCGGCGCGCGCGGCGCCGCGAAGCCGTCGAGGTCGTTGAAGTTGTATGCGCCGACGGCCCGGCCGATGGAGCAGTGCGCGTTGTGGCGGCTCGAGCACAGGCACTCGGGGCACGCCGTCTTCGCCTTCTTGGCCGGCGGCTCGCGCGCGGGCGGGCAGGCCTCGAGCTTGACCTCGACCTTGACGGCCGGCCGCGGGGCGGCGGCGACGGGCGGCGGCGCGGGGCGCGGCTGCCGGTTCGGGTCCCGCCAGCGCTTCGCCGGCGCGGGGGGCGCCGGCGGCGGCGCGTCGTCGACCCGCTCCTCGTCCGCCTCGGCGAAGTCGTCGCCGCCCAGGCCCTCGAGCTGCGCGCGGGGCGCCGGCGGCGGCGCGTCGTCGATCTGCTCCTCGTCCGCCTCGGCCAAGTCGTCGCCGCCCATATTTTCGAGCTCGTCCTCGAGCTCGTCCTCGGCGAAGTCGTCGCCGCCGCCCAGGCCTTCGAGCTCACCCTCGAGCTCTTCGTCGAGCTCGTCCATTTCGTCGAGCTCGTCCACCGCTTGCCTCCGGAGAGCTCAGTGTTCACGTTGAACCCATGTTAACGTTACCCTAGCGGCGGCGGCGCGCGGCGGGCCGGCACGCGCGGTCGCTGCGCTTGAAGTAGAGCGTGACGATGACCTGGTGCCAGACGTTGGCGCCGACGTGGGTCAGGTCCATGTCCTCGCGGACCTCCGTGGACGTGAGCGCGTCGAAGCCCTGGACGCGCATGGACTCGACGAAGACGTCCTTGTTGTCGAGGGAGTTGGACTGGCGGCCCGTCCAGGCGTCGTTGCCGCCCTTGCTCTCGCCCGGGTAGAGGCTCGCGAAGAAGAGGCCGCCGGCCTTGACGACGCGGCACGCCTCGGCCGCGAACCGGTCGCGGTCGAAGACGTGGTCGAGCACGTTGCTGTAGGCGTAGTCGAAGCTCGCGTCGGGGAAGGGGATCGCGTGGAAGTCGCCGGCGACGACGTCCATGTTCGACCGGCCCGGGTTGAGGTCGATGCCCAGCGCAACGGCGCCCAACGCCTTGAACGCGCGGACCTCGCCGCCGAGGCGCGCGCCGAGGCAGAGCACGGTCTTGCCGCGCAGGGACGCCAGCCCCGCCGTGCCCTCGGCGAGCGCCTTGGCGAACTCGCGCTTCACCTGGTGCTGGCGCCCGACGTCGATGGCGTCGATCTTCGTGCGCACCTTGCCGAGCTTCGACTGCTGCGTGCGTATGTAGGCGCTGTAGGTGTCCGTGGCGCCGCGCCGCTTGAGGGACAGCCCGAGGTCCGACGTCGTGCGCTCCGTCTCCTGCGCCGTCTGCATGAGGTCGCCGCCCACGACCGCGAGGACCATCAAAACGCGCAGCATCGTTTAGCTGCCGCGATTTTGATTCGTCGAGAGACGTCTGCACTGTAAGTTCTAGTAATTCTCTAGGACATGTTTTTTTAATTTCGATGAAACGCGAAATCGACAAAGATCCTGGATAATTGACGCTCGAAAGACGGGACGATGGAGATCAATTCACTACTTATGCCGCTCCTAGCGCCGCGCGACTATCCCGGCGTGCATGGACCCCGCGGCAAGTCTTGGGAGGCACAACGAGAGCTTTCTCTCGGAGGAGACGCGACGCGCAACAGATTGCGTCAGGCTGAGAACGGGTGGTTTTGAGGGGTAAAATGAGTCGCGCGCCCCCGGCTAGACTCGATTTTTGCGCTCTTGGGCGCAGCTCAGCGTCGGAGATCGTTCATAGACACCCCGCGCGGCTCTGGTCGCGCGGGCTCGTTCACTGAGTCGAAGGTCGTTCATTGCTGGTGTTCGAGGCGGAAGCGCCGCCGCCGTAAAACGTCGTTCCGGATGCTCGAGAACGGGTTTTGCGTTGAAACCGAACCGCTTCGCGACCAGCGCGTTCCACGCGATGTGGACGGCAGTTCCCGCGCGAAGCGGTTCGGTTTCAATGAAATTTGACACCGGCTGGGTGCCCCCGTTTCGTCGAACTTCGGCGCCGCCGTACCAGATGAAAGCACGTCCAAGTGAACCACGCCGTCGTCGCAGCCCCCCCGCGACACACCTCTGCAGGCCCGTGCGCGAGGGCCACTCCACCACCGCCCCTGAAATTCGACCACGCGCTGGTCCTTTGTCTCGAAAATCATCCCATCGGGGCGGCTGAAATCGACTCCGCGTTTCATGCAACGAGCTCAATCAAGCCATTCTAGGCATACTAGAACTTACAGTGCTGCGCTATACGTCGAGCGCGGCAGAAAAACCATTAAAGAACGATGCGCCTCTTGTTCGTCCTCGCCATCGGCGGCGCGTGTGGGCTGGCCCCCGGGAACGTCACGGACGACGCCGCCGTGGTCTCGGAGCGCTGGTGGGGCGGCGACGACGCCACGGACGACGTCGTCGACGACGGCGCGCGGGAGCACTTCTGCCGGGGCTCGAAGATCGCCCGCTACCGCGAGGAGACGAACTTGTCGTCGTCCTGCGCCGTCGTCGAGGCCTACTGCGGCGGCCGCGGCGAGGGCCTCTTCCAGTACATGCACCTGCGCTACTGCGCGCTCGGCGCCGCGCCGGGCGCCGCGGCCGTCGCGCTCCTGGCGCTCTGGCTCCTGCTGCTCATCTCGCTCCTCGCGACGACGGCGGACTGCTACTTCGTGCCCCAGCTCGAGGCGCTGAGCGGCTACCTGCAGCTCTCGCCGGAGGTCGCGGGCATCACGCTGCTCGCGCTCGGCAACGGCGCGCCCGACGTCTTCGCGGCGCGCGCGGCGCTCTCCGGCGGCGCGAGCGACTTCCCGCTCATGCTGAGCGACCTGTTGGGCGCGTCGGTGTTCATTTCCACGGTCGTGCTCGGGTCCGTGCTGCTCGCCGCGGACCGCGCGCGCGCCGCGTGGCGCGTCGACCGGCGCGTGTTTCTCCGCGACGTCTGCGTCTACGTCGGCGCGGTGCTGTCCATCTTCGCCGTCGCCTGCGACGGCACGGTGGAACTCTGGGAGGCGCTGCTCTTCCTCGTCATCTACGCCGCGTACATCGCCGTCGTCGTCGTCCAGTCGCGGGCGGCCGCGCCCGTCGCGCCGGACGCTCTTCCTCGTCATCCTGCCGCCGCGGCCGCGCCCGCGCCGCTCGACGCGCCCCTGCTCCCCGTCGACGCCGCGGCGCCGCCCAAGGTCGCCGGCGCGCCCATGGCGGGCCTCGACTGGGGCCTCGTGCGGGACGGACCCGCCTGGGCCCGGGTCCAGTTCGTCGCCGAGTACCCGTTCAGCGTCCTGCGGTGGCTGTCGATCCCCGGGAGCGACGGCGCCTGGGACCGGCGGCGCCGCGTCTTCACGGCCATGGCGCCGCCGTTCCTGGGGCTCGTGGTGACCCTCGATAGCCCCTGGGCCGACGGCAACGGCTTCGACTACGCGTTCTCGGGCGGCGCCGCGGCGCCCGCTCTGGTCGCGGCCGCGGTCGGCGCGGCCGCGTCCGCCGCCGTCTGGCTCACGACGGACGACGGCGCGCCGCCGCGCTACTACGTCCTCGTCGTCCTCGCGGCCTTCGCGTGCACGATCACGTGGCTCGACCTCGTCGCGTCGGAGCTCGTCGCCGTCATCGAGGCGCTCGGGCGGATACTAGGGGTGTCGACGTCGATCCTCGGCCTCACGGTCATCGCCATGGGCAACAGCGTCGGGGACCTCGTCGCGGACACGGCGACGGCGACGCACCTCTCGCCGCAGATGGCCGTCGCGAGCTGCTTCGGGAGCCCCCTGCTCAACGACATCCTCGGCGTCGGCGTCGCGACGACGGCCTACGCGGCCAAGCACGACGCGCTCGCGTCGCCGCTCAACGCGCAGGACCGCGTCGCCTACGCGTTCCTCCTCGCGTCGCTCCTCTCGTCGCTCGCCGCGTTCCCGGCGCTCGGCTTCTTCGCCGAGGAGAAGAGCGCCGCGCGCGGCCGCTACCCCTACGCGCTCTTCGGCCTCTACGGCGCCTTCGCGCTCGTGTCCTGCCTCGTCGAGCTCGACGTCATCCCCCAGGACCGCATCTGCGCCCTCGGCAACGGCGGCTCCTGCCTCCGGACGTCGTCGTAAGGGGGGCGAGGCCCAGGTGACGGGCGAGGGTGGCGACCTAGCAGTGACGAGATCGAGCTGTGAAGTTCACTTTTGGACGGCCTGAGAAATCAAAAGCTCGTAGCTAAATCAAAGCCCGAGCCAAACGCCGCAGGGTATACGTCCCTGGCTACCGGCTCCGTAGAAGGTAACTTGCCTTCAACTTGAAGAAAAGTATCCTAAAAAAAAGGTCGACACTTTTGAAGCCGATCAAGCTGCGTCACTGGCACGCCGAGCCGACGCGGAGCTCCTTCTTCTGAAACCGGCTAGCCGTACTACAGCCAAGATCAGCTCCGTAGAAGGTAACTTGAAGTAAAGTATCCGAGAAAAAAAAAAGTCGGACATTTCCAGGACCGGGCCGGACCGACGAGCGCCGGCGAAACTAATCAAAAGCCGGTCGAAATTAATCAAAAGCCGGTCGAAATTATTCAAAAGTTCACTTTTGTATAAAAGTCAACTCTCGCTCGATCTCGTCACTAGGGGCCCCTGCGCGACGGTGCGTGCCGCGGTCCCCGGCCACGTCCCCGGCCCGTGCCCGGGCCGTGCCCGGGGCCCCGTGCCGGGCCCGTGCCGGGCCTCCCCGGCCCGTGCCCGGCCCGGCCCGGGCCCGG